AGACCCAGAACGAGTCGAGGGCATCCTTGCTGTTCCGGAGCCCAGAGACCGTAAGGAATTACAAATATTTCTTGGCATGACGAACTTTGTCGCAAGATTCATACCAAATATGTCTGCTCTCTCAGCACCATTACGCGAGCTGTTGGAAAAAGATATCGCTTGGGTTTGGACTGAGCGCCAACAAAGCAGTTCTAAAACGCTCAGAGTTGCTTATCAAGGCGCCGGTACTTGCGTATTTTGAGCAAGGTAAACCAGTCACGTTGTCAGTGGATGCAAGCCAAACGGGCGTCGGGGCGGTGATTATTAAGAACGGACATCCTATCGCCTACTCATCACGCTCCCTCACCGAGACTCAGCACAAATACGCCCAGATTGAAAAAGAGGCACTCGCTATAGTACACGGATGCAGCAAGTTTAAAGATTGTAGTTTAGGGCACTCATTTGTGACTGTAGAGCCGAGTCATAAGCCACTGGAAGCAATATTCAGGAAACCCCTCTGTGACTGCCCGCTCCGCCTACAAAGGATGAGGCTAGTGCTTCAGCGATACTCCATTACCTTGCAGTACAAGCCAGGGAAGGAACTTTTCCTGGCGGACGCGTTGTCAAGGTTCCCAACCAAAACTATGCTAAAAGACGAAAGCGACCAGCTTCAAGTCAACATTGTTTCTACGCTATCAGTTTCAGATGCACGGCTCCACGACATCCTCCAGGTGACAAAAAACGACGCGGCTTTCATCCAGCTCCGACAGTATGCATCAGCATCCTGGCCAGCTGAGAAACGAGACGTCCCGGAGGAACTTCGAACGTACTGGAACTACTGAGACGAGATGCACGTGGAAGATGGGCTGGTCTTCAGGAGTAACAAAGTGGTAATTCCGAAAGCCCAGAGGACGGAGATTTTGAAATTTTTGCATGCCGCACACGGGGGTGAAGCAAAAATGAAGATGCGCACCAGAGAAGTGATGTATTGGCCGACCATGTCATGCGACATTCAAGCTCTTGCAGAGTCATGTGGGGTCTGCGCGAAGCATAAGCCCAGAGACGCAAGATTACCATTACTGAGCCATGAACTACCCAACCTACCATGGCAGCTGGTGGGGCTAGACTTGTTCTACCACAACAATCGGACTTTTTTGATAATTGTTGACTTCTACTCCTTCTCTTCCGAGATCAAGGAACTGCGACAGTCCACGGCAGCTTCAGTGGTATCCGCCTGTGCAGAGGTCTTCGCTACTCATGGGATACCAGCGAAGTTCTGCAGTGACAATGGGCCCCCTTCAATAGTTACAACTTCAAGGACTTTGTGAGTAAGTTTCGAATCATTCACGTCACGTCAAGCCCTCACCACCCTCGCTCCAACGGAATGGCTGGGCGAGCCGCACAAGAGGCAAAGAAACTGCTAACGAGGTGCTCCTACAACACCCTCGACTTCTGCAGCGCCCTCCTGAAATGGCGCAACAGCACAAGGGATAACCTGCTCAAGTCACCAGTACAGAGGCTAATGGGTCGTCAGACACGCACACTGCTTCCGGTTCCCGACTGCTGCCTGGAACCAGCCATCGTACCGCCCAAAGAGGTGCACAAACGACTACAAGAGCTCCGCAGCAAGCAGCGGACCTTCTACAACAGAACAAAGGCCCTTCCGGAACTACAAGATGGTCAGCAGGTGTCTGCATTTGACACCATTTCACATACGTGGTCTCCGGCAGTCGTCATGAGGCGTGCGGGGCCCCCGCGCTCCTTTGTGAGCGAAACTGGTGACGGACGTGTGCTACGCAGAACGAGAGAGCACCTGCGCGTGTTGCCGCCTCGGCAACAGCAACTTGTCAACACTGCGGCTGCTGAATCCACTGGCCGCCAGGTCAGGGAAAAACCCTCAACGGGGGCCCCACCATCACAAGACCCTCCAACCCAGGAGCTCAGGAGGAGTTCAAGACAACGGCGGAGCCCCGTCAGATACCCAAGACCAGAACTTTAAGCGCGATCGTGCAAGCGTACTATCTTCTATTCTTTAATTTTTTGTATATTGTTTTTCTCTTCTTGCTTAATTTTGTTTTGTTTGAAAGAGGGAAGATGTAGCGCAGCGTCACTAGCTGATACCAAATCAGCCTTGTCATCGGCACAGCAACTGCGCCGCTAGGGCATACTGTATATAAGGCCTCACGGTGCGTGCAATAAACGTTGTTGAACTCGCTACTTGCGTACGAGCCAAACTTTTGCCGAACAAAGAACGTACGCAGGATTCGTAAGAAAGCACGGGGAACTGTACTCGCTTTTCCATCTAGGTGCTCGATGACTGCTCCCAGTTCAGTGTCGTCTCGTTGGAGTGCTGCCATGTCGCTGACATCAAGAAAGCCGAGAAAACACTCATCGTCCTTGTATTCGGTGCAGGCGGGCCGCCTTCGACGGGGGCCCTTGAGAGGCAACCGGCGTCATTGTGCTTCCGGCCGGGCTTGTGCATTACGGTCATGTTGAACTCCTGCAGTTGTAGGCTCCACCGGGCAAGACGTCCGGAGGTGTTTCAAATTCGGGAGCCAGCAGAGTGAGTGGTGGTCTGCGACCGAATAAAAAGGACTTCCGTACAAGTATGGGCGGAACATTGTTACTGCCTAGGCGACAGCAAGGCACTCATTTTCAGTCGTTGAGTAGTTTCTCTCCGCATTAGACAGCGTCCTGCTGTCTATGCAGTCTTGCTGGGCCAGTATCCAGCGGCCACGACGTCCCCTTACTTTTGTAAGCGAGGACATATAACAAAGGGCCTTATGGCATGTGACAATAGTAAAATCTTGTCCATATAAGTATGACGCAAATTTGTTTATGGTCCAGACTACAACTAGGCGCTCTTTCTCAGTTATTGTGCAGTTTCTCTCAGCTCTGACCAGGGAAAGGCTAGCATACGCGACAACATATTCTTGCTTGGGTTCGGGACGACGCTGGATCAAAACCACGCAGATTCCCTAACCACTTGAGTCGGCATGAATGTCTCTTGGTGCTGCCTCGATAAAATGACCTAGTGCTACGAAATAAGCTACGCAGCTCATATAGTGGCTCTAAGATGACGAAGTATGGGGTCGGACTGCAATCCGGCTCTCAGAGTTGAATCCCCGTTCACAATCGAACGACCACAGAAACAGGACATGACGTGAAGTAGAAGCGTAAGGGGAACGAAAAAACAAACAAACATGGGAATAAAACGTCAATAATACAAACATACACCTGAAAAGCTCCCGAGCGGCCTGAGTTTGATAGGCGTTGGTCCCCGTTGTGAGGACTGATAGTATCGTCAAAAATAATAATAAAATAAAAAAGGCCGAAACTGCTCGAACCTTCTCTGGATCGGGTCGAATGCCGCGTTTGCTGACAGTGTCCCAGATTCTGAATTTCTCGAGCGTCAAGCGAAATATTTTGTGTTCAGCTGCAACCCCGTCTTTCAATTTTTTTAGACATACATCTTTTGAGGTCGATCAAAGTGGTCGTGAAAAGTTCCGGGGAATAAATTAATACTATCTAAATAACAGATACAAGTTCGCCATTTGAGTTCACGGAGAACGCTATCGATCCTACGCTTGAGAGCAGCAGGGGCATTGCATTAGCCAAACGGCATAACATTCAATTTGTAAAGGTCATCAGGACTTATAAATACAGTTTTTTTTTTTGTTTGTTTTTTTTAATTTTCCTGGTGATCCATAGGAATTTGCCGGTAATCCGGTCTGAGATGAGGGGACGAGAAAAATTCGTCTCTTCGCAACGTGTCGAGCGCATCGTCAATTTGGGGATAAGGGGTCGACATCCTTTCGACTTATAACGTGGAACCGGCGATTACCTACGCAAACCCGAACGTCGCCGTCTTTATGACAGGGATAACGGGAGAGGAATACGGGCTGGATGATGGTCGAATGACGCCTTTTTTCTAACGTATTTGTCACTTCCTTATTAATAGTGTGTCGTTCAGATGGAGACACGCGGTGAGGACGATGTCGAACAATTTCTTCTTCAGGAGTTTGTATGGTGTGTGAGGCGGAGTTTGTTTTGCCCAAATATCGCGTAAGAACATCAAAGGAAGATCTAAATGTAAAAAGGAGGTCAGGAAGTCTTGATTTTTGGTCGCTATTCAGATGGCTTACAAAAGCTTGCATTACTCTCAAAGAGGGGACAGGGGATCGCAAAGAATACGAGGGTTCTGCGACATGAATAGGAGCAATATCCACGCCATTTCGCAGCTCTGCTTTCCCAATTGCCATGGCAGCTGGAAACAAATATGGGTTGAAATGTCACGTTGGAACCTGCGTCTCTATACAGCAATGTAAAAGGTACGCATTCGCACGTCCAGGGTGCGCTGGTCTTTGCCCTGTAAAGTGTGTCTTCGCCATATTAAATTGGTTACATCTGTTCTTTAGCGCTTCGGCGCGACACAGCAGGTTGAAATGTTACGTTCGAAGCTGCAATACGTGTCGTACCTTGGAAAGATCTGGCGACACAGTGCGACAACAATAAGCCATGAGGTAACGAGACGTGCTAGAGAGGAGTGACGTCGATATTCTCCGAGAGTGGAGTTAGAGCAACTAACTTGAATATACGAGAAGATTGGTGAGGTATGACAGTATCCTTTTAAATACGCAAATTTGTATCAGAATCTCTTAGAGGCAACAAAAGTAATCGTGGACTTCTTAGTAGTACCTGAGGCGCACGACACTGAACTACAGCATTAACAGGCAAAGTTTTTTTTTACATAAACCTACGCTGTTTTCATTACACATGGTGAATTTAGAAACACATAGGAGAGTCTTAATGAGCAGAACGTAAGGGCGAAAGTGAGCTGGTGTATAATAATCATTTTATTAAAAAAAAAAAACCGAGACTTGAGGTAATGACAGACGACGACAAGAAAGAGAAAAAGAACGTCTCAAACACAGCTAAACCTTTATTGAGGTAAGAACCCTTTATATGGGGTTGAAAAAGGAAGGAAAGAAAATAGTCTGTTAAGCGTTGCGACGACCTACCTGACATCCTCTTTCCGCATGTTCACCCAGAACTCCAGATCTGTGCGCACGATGGGTCTCACGTAGTTCACCAGGGAATGTTGGCGCAGAATGGCCTCGCTCATGAGATCGGTCGAGCGGTTACGGCACTGCAGTTCGCTTTCGTAGGCACCCAGCGGCTCCTTGTGGTAGCAGTACTCGACATCGCGAGAGTTTTCCTGGACAGTCACTACAAAGAGAGAGAGAGAGAGAAATAATCGTTCGCACATACGCAGGTACATTGATGTAACTGGATAATGTTTATAGTTTGGCTCTAAAATTGTCGATATGAAAAATTAGACAACGAAGGTAATACTGAAAACGCCAGAGTCCTCGCTGGGCCGGCTGCATGCGGCGTCTTGCCCCTGGGGCCATGCCATCGCAGTTTCATCGTCGGGGGAGGTTTTTCGCGGTTGGGGACACTGTTGTGTTTCGTTCATCGTTCCGCGTGTCATAAATCTTAACTTCAAATCTAATTGCTGTTGCCGTCACTCTTTGTGGGCATTTGTGTTGTTATGTTGTGCGTTCTGTCGTCCCTTCTAATGTACTGCTTTCTCCTCTCCCTCTCTGAGTGAGAATCTCGGCCATCATGTAACCCTATTCACTTTTATGTCACGCTTGAAGAAGGAGGGTCCCCCTCCGAAACATCCGATTAAACTATCCAAGTTTTTTGAACCTCGGAGGCTTTTTTACTTATATACAAACGCCTCGGCTCGGGTATTATATATATATATATATATATACCCAAGAATAAATATATACATTATAAATACACAATTAATTACTAAAGTTTAGATAATAATTCGACCACTTAAGACAACTATTAGGTCTGCACTTGATTACGCGGACGTTTGTCTAGATTCCACACAAAATAAATTAATTCACCTGCAAATATTAAGAAAAGCGTCACTTTATATGTTTATCAACCAAAGTTAGTGTGATTTTTATAAGAATTTGTATTACGGTTGACTGATGAATACGCAGATTTAAACAAAGTCTTGTAATTTCTTCGCTTGGAGTTTCCCAATAACCACTCAGTAATCAAATTAGCGGGTCATTCGCACAATGTAGTACTTGCAGTAAGCACGACTTTAACCATTCGGATTCAAGAAAAGCAGTCCAGGAATGAAAAACTCTACAGCTCAAATTAAATAACTTCCAGACTTTATAACCGTTTTTTTTTTGTCTAAAATTACTTCTAATTTTTCGTTTAAACTATTTTGTTGATGTTTCATTTATATTAACAATATGGACTTAACAAGCAGTGTTTTGTGTTTTTGCCTTGCCCAATTGAACATTCGTTCTTGGCGCCCTGCTCGTGTTGCTTAAATGTTTCATTTACGCGAGGAACACAGGAGCCGTAGGTTCAGTACTGGCAAGGCAATGTAGTATCTAGGAATTCAATAAGTACTTTACCGGATAGAACATTTTAGGTGCTAGATATACGTTTCCGTCAGCCGCTAATGGAGTGGCTACGTCCAACACAGAAACAACTTATTCTATATAGGGAGTTTGAACCACATTAAGGTTTCTTGCGTGCTTGTAACCTTCGGTGAAAAAAAGAAAATTGACTTACCACAGTTTGCTCCGTTCGAATGATAAAACCCGGCTGTCAGAAACAAACAAAAAAGCATATTACTGAGAAGTGCGACCCAGGTCAAATCAAGTGACATACAAATAGAAAACAGGCGAGGGCCTAAACCAATCCGTTTACAGCTTTTATATCCAGTGTGCATAATTAAACAATCAACAGAAAGAACAACCTGCTTAGTCCTTCTCAAGGATATGGGAATGGTTTTTGACTCATTGCTCAGGTAACACACAAGAAAAAGGCCTACATTGTCACAAAGTTGACAGTCCTAGTGGCAACTTTGGCCTGATACGGATTGGGACTAGTGCTTCTGTATGTGCCAGAGTACTTCGGCGTTTCTATGCATTTCCTCTGTCTCGCTACAAACCAAAGATGGCACGTATAATTAGACAAAGAACAAGCAGTGAAGCCAAAATTGGGCACTTGTTTTCCAATTTAGGTTCAAAGTTACTAGACGAAAACCAAATGACCAGAAGTGAAGCAAACTCTGGCACTTGTCTGGCGATTTAGGCACAATGATTCCAACTGAAAGTCGAAACTACCAGGCAGTGAAGTCTAACTGTGGCACTTATTTACAAATTAGGGTAAATATACCCCTGACTTTGGACAAACAAGGTAAAGTTTGGCTCTACCTTGTCTTCATAGGGTATTTTAAGGACCTAAATCTCCACACTAAAACTGAATTTCGGAACAATAATGTGTGCTGCCTGGGTGGTTACATACCGTCGCACAACACAGCAATGGAACAGTTTTTGCAGCGGCGATCGACGTTGGACACAGTTTCATCCAGCACTTCGAGGTTGCAGCGACTTAGTGTTGAGTTCGGAAGTGTGTCAGTCCTATAAGAAACAGCCGTTAGATAGCTGACGCCATTTCGGCAAGGAACATCGTGAAAGGAGAGAACAATGTTGGCAACACTTTGTTTTTATCTGACGAAATCATCACACGAAAGGTGCGTATGGTCAAGGCCTGTGTCTATTATAATTACGCTCTCCTATACGTGTCCACACTCATGCCAATATATATTATTAAGCCTTAAAGCGTAGTCAATCGGTACTTTTGAAAATTAATTATCTGAAGTTTCGTATTGGTCTCGCACAAACTTTAGATCAACTGTGCTAGGTCTTGACGTTTGTTACAGTATAGGTCTTTACGTTTGTTACAGTATAGGATAGGAACTCTTCAGAGCGAAGCCAATTGGTATACCACATTAATTAACAAACAAGCATATGAGAGACTCCAAACTGACAGCACGCGTTTTGTAGGGTGACGATGTTTACGGTGTTCATTAGGCTTCTGAGCCCCGATTACTGTTTCGTTTTACGTTCTTTGGTGAAGGGCACACACAGACAACCTTTCGTGCCGGAGTCAGGCTGAAGACTGACGTATCGTTTATTAAATATAAAACAAAATAAAATAAAGGCGCCTCTGGTACGGGGCGCTCAGGTTACGCGCGAAGCGGGGGAACGGATGTTTAGATCGCGGGCTCCGCGCGAACGGTTGTTCTCGGTCACTTTGGATTTTGGTTGGAGCTAGCTAGCGTCGGCGCGTCGGCGACTCCATAACAAGTACCAAAATCCTTAACGAAATGTTTGTTGCCACCCTGAACATTCGTAGCAGGTTTTATCCTTTTAATCCACATTGACATCCAGCAATAAACCAGAGGGACAGATTTAACCATTGTTGCAATGGCAGTCATCCCGAAGCGATTCTTTCTAGCCAAAGCAGATAAATCACGATGTTCTTATAAAAATTTAAAAAAAAAAAGTAATAACGAGACAGTGAGCTCCTGGCGTTTCCATAGGAGGTCGCACTATGCTTTCTCTTCTTTCAGGCTTTGCAATGTATCTCTTTCTACTACGAACCGCAGTTTTTTTTCAAATTAATTGTTATTATAAAGGCTGCCTTATAAAGCTTTCTAGATTGTTTATTGAAGCCGCGAATGCTACTGTAATGCGGCTGGAGCATCTGCGTAGTACTGCCAGGGGGATATAACAACGAGGGCTAATCGTTACTGTAAGTCGTATACTTACCTAAAATTTGATCATTAATTATTTAATCGGTAAAAATAAACTTCGGGTTCTAATTAGAAACTTGCTGAGCGTCATCGAAAACAACTAAATCAGTCAATCTTATTAAGATTCGGAGTGCGCGGGACGCTGTGTTGCGCTAACTTTAGCGCTTGTGCAACGAAGCACGAGGATGACGACGAGAAAACGTAGATAGTAAACACGCCGCGGTGTTACGATCCGGCTTTTCGCACGGCCAGGCTCGCCATTGTTGCGCATGTGGTAACTATGGTTCATCGTCACGACTCCCACACCGCTCCAAAGTCTTCTAAAATGTATAGCGAACGTGGTCTTCAATTACGCTCAGCATGTTTGTATATGAATGCACGCGTTTACTCCCACGAATCATAAAGTTAATTAAGGAATCTTCGTTAACAGTTATCGCTACAATCATCTCCCTATAATATCTACCCCTAGTAGCGTAGTTCGTCCGCACCAACCGGATGACTGTAACTATAACGGCTTTTCTTAACACACCTACCCCCCCCCCCCCCAAAAAAAAAAGAAAAAAGTTTTGTAGTTTTTTTTGTTTTATAGGAAACCCTACTACCCTGCGCGGGCCGCAGAATGGAATCAGCATGTCCAAATAGGATTCTTCGATGCTTTCTTTCACTTTAAGTATCAGCGCAGACAACGCAACGATCCAATCGAGCCAATGAAACAACGCCAAATGTGCTTGGCTATATGCCGCCAACGAGATAGAGGGGCTTAGAGCGATAAACTGGTATCCCGCTCACCAGGCAACAGTGACCCCCACTTGGCTGCCGCTATATTGTACAACTTTGACCACTAGACACGTGACCGTAACAAATCCTGAGGCTTCTACGCAAAACTGAGCCGGCATTTGTAACGCCGATCGGCGTAAAAAAACAAGATAAACTATTTTTCAATACTCTTAGCCCCAGAGATCAATGTCCACCTCCCATAAAAACCCATATACAGCACCGCGGCTGACGGTATCTAGCGGAGGCATTGCGAAGCTGCCCGGGTTTTTGTCGCAAAGGCACGTTTTGGACTTAAAACGAACAAAACATAAGTTATTTCGTCGGTACTGTTTGTAAAGATGAATTGGCAATTATTTGTGCGCGGGATAGACGTAAAACTATAAGGTCACGTGCCTAGTGGTCAGAAATGTGCAACATGGCGGCGGCCCATTGGGGGTCACCTTCATCCGCCAGCTGATCGCTCTAAGTCCCTCTACCTCGTTGTATGGCGCTCATCTCCTTTGTGTTTTCGCTATCACCGACTAGACCAGTTCCGCGCAGTGAATGAGCCGCCATATATTTCGCGCGTGATTTGTTTAGCCGGTGATATACCCACAAAGACAACGATCACCATGATCATACGCTTTTGGCACTGCTTAATTGAGTCCATCTGATCTTTAGCGTCGGCTGCAGACAAACTTAAAGGGAATATACCTCAGTGGGGCAAAGCCCCATAAAACCCTCTGATGTCCCCGTTGTTGCCAGGGTTGCCAATTCCATTTACTTCTCAAACGTTACTTCAGGACACCAATAACGCTGGCTGCGCTTCCTCATCTTCAAGCAGAACGTTATGCTGAGGCAAAATGATTCTGACGTATATAACTCACGCATGATTAAAAACTCGCAAGCACGCCCCAAGTGCGCATCTTTCTTTCGATGCTTGAGCATTAACGGGAAAGAGCGCGCCAACCACTGGTTCCTTCAATCCCCAGTGATAAACTGCCGTCCATTATTAGCTAGACGCCCGGGTCTGTTTTGTACCACTTTATTAGTATGTCACCAACATTAGGAGGGTAAAATAGTTATTTATCTTCTTTTTAGTCGAGTCAGTTCGTGGAAGTACCAAGTACAAAACTCGAAACTTGAAAGTTGTCGTTTGTCGTTGTTGTCCGTCCCTTTGTCGCTTTCTTATATTCAGTACCCTTAGCAAAACGCTCCTCCTTTACGTCTCGTCACTGGTTGAGGTTTGTACCTCCTCGATTAGTTCTTCAAAGTCTGTCTTACCGCGCGTAAAAGCTTTATTTACGACGAGTTTCCTGGTAATGTCGTCGTTGTTCGCGGCGAACATATATACGGGGTCGTTTCTTTTTACGCTTAACAGATTTGATTTAAAAAGTCGCGAAAGCCACATTGATACGGTATTTGAAGGATAGTTATGCGGCCCGGGGGAACGCGCTGTAATGGGCTAATCGTCACGATATGTGGAATGAGTAATTAAAACTTGTCTTTTTTTTTTTTGTGAAAATGGAGACATGGCTCTAATGAGAAACTTGCGGAGCGTCGTAGAAAACAAGTAAATCAGTAACTTTTATAAAAACCTTGAGCGCGAGGGAAGCGCAGTAATGCGCTAAAGTTCCCACTCGTGCAACAGGGACAAGGCTCGGGTAAGAGAACGCGGATGAAAGGAAACGAAGGAACGCCGCGGACGCGTCATCACACCGGCAGCCTTACCCCTGCTTCACGAGTGGTTTTTAGCGCTTCACCGTGGCTTCCCACATGCTCCAAGTTTTTTTTTTTTATTTTTTTAATATGGACTGATTTAGTTGTTTTCGAATACGGTCAGAAAGTTTGTAATTAGAACGATATTTATCAATTTGTTTATTTTTATTTATTTCAATAACCCTAGGCCCCAGAGGGCATTACAGAGGCGTATGTGTAAAAGCAACAACAACGACATCAAACGTAAAAAAGAACAGGCCACCAGGGCCCTACTGCTGGAAAGTACAAAAATAGTCCAGCCTAAAGTGTTTTAACAAAAGTGATTAATCATTGCGATTTCAAATAAATCATTTGATGGCATATTCACTGAAGACTCGGGAAGGGGGTTCCAATGAGAGGACGTTAAAGGAATAAAGGAGTCCCCGTACGCTGAGGGTTTGCGGTGAGATACGCGTACATTAAAAAAGATTGGTTGAGAAAAAGTGATTCTTTCAGTGATTCGTTCTAATGATAAGTTTAGTAAAATACACATAAACGTAATATTTTTCGGCGTAGGTATTTTCATGAATGAGACACTATGCTGCCTTCACCCTAAACCTGAGACTGCAGCCAAAGCTACAAGCGCGAGCCAACCGACACTTTCAGCTTTGAGACGTGCATTTCTAGCGTGAGTGCTCGCTTTGTGGAAGAACTTTTCAAAGCAGCGACCTCGTGCTCTCGCGCTTGTGGCGTTGGCTGCTGTCTCAGCTTAAGGGTTAACGGAGTATAGCTGTGCGATGATACTTAGGAAATATAAAACGTACTGGCACGATTTTCCATGGTTTCGATGTTATTCATGAGCGTTGCTTGGCCGGAGTCCCCGATTGTTGTGTATACTCGAGCTTTGAGCGAACTATTGCGTTGTATAAATTAGTTCTATGGACATAGGCGCTTGAAGAGAAGTCTTTTTAAAAACATCCAATTCTAGAATTAGCATTGGCGTTGATGTGATTAGTATGAGCTTTTCAGGACATGTTAGCAGTAATATGTACAGTCTCCCGCAATATGAAAGACCCACTTAAAGCGCGTGGCCGAGACGGTCGAGGGCGGTGGCGCTGCGCGCGCTTCATGCGATTCCATTCTGCTTCGTGGGGTGAATACTCAATCGGGGCTCCACCGGGCCTGAACGCACTTTTTGGTTTCCGTTTAGCGGAAGCGCGCGTTTCATCGGCGTCACGCCCAGTGATATAGTCACGAAGACTCGAAGCAAGCATAGTTATCACCGTTTGTTTTTTCAGTCAGTTTTTTCGGCTGTAAAATGTCAGAACAGGCACTGCTAAACAAACAAATGTAATGAGAAAATGCGTTAAAAAACGTATTCGTTCGGTATAAAAAAAAAACAAGTTCAGAGTTAGTCAATTGCAGGTGGAACTGTGACGTGACCGTAACGAACTGCACGCCGCCACGAAACGGAAACTGGAACTGATAAGGGCGCGTTGCGCTTTAGCTGATCCCCTAGTGAGTCCTTCCCCAGGGGCATAATGGAATCTCCCGGCGCGTGCGCAGCGCCCCCTCCAGCCACCGTCTCGGCCAGGCTCTCCTAGGGGGCCTCTGTGCAGGATACTGCACACTAAGATGTTTATAAGAAGACCCAAATTGCAGAGGAGTGCTACAAATTCAGTATGATGATGGGGACGTGTTTCCACGAGACACCCTCCTAGATTTACATTTGTTTAGGTTTATGTCTGATTTACGTTTATTTCCACTAATTAAATCGTTCATTAACACGTTTAATTAGCCAACTGATCGTTACGATTGGCCCCTGTACTAAGTCCATCTGACCATATAACTCACCTGCACAAATAATATTGGTGTAGCTTTCACACATTTTCTTTTTAAACAAAGCTGTCAAGCTTAAAAAAAGGCACGGTGAATACAAACGGCGTACCATGATGATGTACATTTGTTTTTGCAGCAGATGCGGGTCGCTTACGGGTCTGTGCATATGTTGACCTTCTTAACAGACTCCTTTCCCCCCTCTTGCTTAATGCCCTTGCACCACCTGTGTGGGACCTCTCCGTGCCCTGCTGGAACTACGTTTTGGGAGTGCCTCACACCCACGCCCGGACAACTGCTTCCAGCCTATTAATGGCCACAAAATGGCGTCCTCGCAGAATTTTCATTTTCGTCGCATCAAACAGGTGACGACCACCGGGGCCAGGTAAGGCCACACCCATGCACAACCAAACGTCTCACTGGTCGTACAACGCGCCAAAGAAACGTACAACGCGCCAAAGAAACGGCCGAGCTCGATCAGGTGCAGGATTGTCACGGCCTCACACGTCGTACGACCGATCATGCATTTGGACGCACACGAGTATGATTTGACCGGGTCTCCAGTAATTATCGCCTGTTGAGTAATATAAAAAAGAAAAAAAAAAGAGAAACCTTGCGAAGACGAACGACAAAAATAATCCCTGGAGAAGGGGAACGAGAGGGGCAAAGGACAAACACCAATCTTCAACAAACACAATCTCCAATTCTTCTTCTGCAGGGTTTGTTTTCGTCATTCTTGTCCAGCTCGCTGGCACCTTTGCATTTACTTGCGAGGAGTCTTTTTCGCGGTCACTGATAAGCTGGAGGCAGCTGTCCAGGTGTGCGAGCGAGGCACTCTCCAAAAGTGGTCCCAGCAGGCCACGAAAAGGCTGCCATACCCGTAGTTCAAGAGCATTGGGTAGAGGGGAGGGTGTGGAGGAGGTGGATATATGTACAGACCTCTATGTTACGGGTATATAAGAAACAAATTGTAAATAAACATGATACTCCCCTCGGATGCACCGGATATTTAACGAAGATTATCAAAAGTCTCTCAAAGTTGGGTTGTTCAGAAAAAAAAAACTATTTCTTGAACAAACTGCCAGCCAAGATGAACGTCAAGAATGACAAAAGACCTACTAATTAGCTAAATAATTAACTTATAGATACTAAATAATTTTTATTTAGTGAAAATAAACACATTTTTTTAATGATAAACTTGCTAAGCATCATATAAGATACTAAATCAATTCTAAAAAAATATGAAACAGAGGCAGCATTACGTGGCGTTAAAAAAATAACACGCGCAATTTGGACGCGTTTTGAGGTTTCGGTTTCATATCGGAGCGCATTCTTGCGCCTGCGGTAGTGCTTGTGTTGCGGGTAAATTCAGCGACTGTGCGACGCCTTGCATTTAAGTATTGATGTGAAGTTAGCTTTTCGTAATATTGTAAAGCGTCTAGCTCTCTTTAAATTACTCCACACTAAATTAACACAACTATGCCGATATAAAAACTAAGGATACACAAAAGGGTAACCTTGTCTACGCAAAATGTAAGAATACAAAATTTACACGTGCCCTCTTTATAATCCAGAAGCCCCGAGACATATGTTAATTCGGCGGAACGAAACGCCTAAAATATTTTATAAAGAATATACTTTCCTGCATGCATAATTCGTACATAAATCTTAGGGTACAAAAAAGCTCCAAAGTCAAAGGTGTTTTCGTTGTGACTGTTTATTTTTTCGCTCATTGAGCGAAGCTTTTTTGGCTCGTACCCTTGCGGAATTGCCAATGAAACGCGTAGATGACGCGCAAAGGCGAGAGTGACTCACATGTCCGCAATCCAGAGTTTGGTTTCGTCCAACTTGAAGACCTTCATGAGCGTACAGATGCGATGCTGCGGAGTGGTCTTGATGCTCAAGAGGTTCATCGAAATTTCGTTGCACTCTTTGTTTGCCTCTAAAGCCGTGATTGATCCCTTCAGCCCCAACACGTGACAGTACGTGCGCACAGGGTCGGTCTTGAAGTAATCTGCGAAAACAAAGGCTTATTCATAAATCAGTCAAACATATAAAACAGCGGGGAGAGAAACGACACGCAGTAAACAGGACAAGGGCTACTTGCACTTGTCCTCTTTACTTTGTGTCCCTGTCTTTTTCTTTTAGATATTTTTTTTACGTTTAACTAAGATGAACCAGCTAGCTCAGCAATGTACCTTACTTTGTTAAGCAACTGATTTTGTTTGTTTTATATATTTTTGTAAAGATTGTTTATTCGAAATAAAAGGACACGAAATGTCCTCCTTGAGAGCTAGACTGATTTATAGTCTACTTTTTTCTTGCAAATGCACCAAGCGAGCGAATAAATTAGCATAGTATATACAAATTTCCCATAACCCATCGTGACATCAACATCGAGACGTTCGGAGCAGCACACCGGGTCTGTCAATCATACTGTATAAGTAAGAGACGCCTTCACTGTTTATCGTTTTCCCCGGATGATTCAAATAAGTGCCAAAATAGATTGACAACTTTCTTTATTCTCTAAACGAAACAGTTCGTCTGGCTTAAGAGGCGGCGGCCCCACGGCCGTAACGATTATACTGGCGATCGCTGCGCTCGGGCTCAAGTTTCGGATAAATGTTTTTTATTTAAATCCACGCCTTCGTGTTTATTGCTAATAAATTAACAATTTATTTTCAAGTGTTTTTGGTGCATCATCAAGTATTTATTTCTGAAAATAAAGTACAGCGACGACGCAGACACATGAAAATCTTTTGCGTTTTTTGGTGCAAATTTAGGCTGGTTTGGCAACCTATGCAGCGCCGCCTTGACTCTGCAACTACACCTGACGAAGCAAGCGCAGGCCGAGACCAACAGTTGCCAGGCCTTGCAAACAATGAACCTGCATCAATGTCCGGCGCCACCAGCTTTCTTTGAAAATAGCGCTCCAGTGCTCGCGACATCGCATTCATCGGCATCGACTGACGCATCACCAAAGCACTTTATAGCAGCTGGCGGTTTCTGGGTACTTCTTGTGTGCACGGAAGTACAGCGACGACGCCGCCGTATCAAACTCCTTTCCATTTTCTGGTGTAGGGGAGTTCATCTCCTTCTCGTTATTCCAAAAAATCAAGGGATGATTGCGCGCTGTTACTTCTGTGCCAACACGTTTCCTTCGGTCTGTGAGTTTCTTCATGTAATGAAGCTACTGCTTATGTCTAGCGACATAAAATCGAATTCCGGCCCTCCTAAGAGTCCTTTGGAGAGCAGTACAAGGACACGATTTCCCTACTAAGGTAGTTACATGCTAAGGTGAAAGAGGAGCATGAATAGGTTGAGACATCCCTTAACGAAGTGAAGCATTCCCAATCTTCGCTTGAGAAACAGGTCGCACGCATAAACTTTCCGTAGTAGAAAAAAATGTCCGATCTTCTGAGGGCAATCGGGTACGAGTCATAGCCCACAAGTTATAGTGTCGTAAAAAAAGCATCAACTTCAAAAATCTTTGAAGCAAAAAAAAAAAAAGGTAATTTGTTATGGTAATGTTTACAGCGCCTCTGAAACGTGGGCACTGTCTGTAGAAAACATTTGTAGTACCCTCAATGCCGCGCAAAACCTAAGTCTACGAAGTAGCGATGACCTTATTTCCCGCGAGCACAGACTACTCAGACTTGTTCCTGGGAAATATAGGCCAGTTATTGTGAGGTTCTTGCTAATAAAGTTTCGGAACAGCATTCTGGCATTAAATAATATTCTAAAAAGACGTTTATATGGCGACCAGAACCTTGGTAAAAACAACTGTTTCATTTTGAAAAAGAAAGCAGCCAGGGGTTTGCCATTGGTTATAACAAATTATATATTTTAAAAATGCTACATTCACTCGTTGTTTACAGACTGCTTATGCGAACTGGAATCAGGCAACTCAACAAAAGCTGAAGTCTTGTATGGTTCCCTGCTTTCTTGTGTCAATTCGACTTTATCTTAGCTACGAACGCACACTGTAATGTTGTTTGTTGTGACCTCGTCCATTCTATTTATTAATATGAGGAGTATCGTCAATAACGCGATGCTTTATCGACTATTCTTATCGACTTCTGGGCGAACGTTGTAGTCCTGAGGGAAACTTGGCTTTCTGCAAAAATTGGAGGCGATGAAGTTTTGGACTGCGAAAAGAAATGACGTAAAATCTGGAGGCGGTGTAATATTGCTATAGTCAGCGACCTTTTAACAAATGTGGTTGTTTTCAGTTCTCTCTTGGAACTTGTTTGTGTTAATGTTCAGTTCGGTCACCAAAATATACCCTTTTGTGCATGTTACCGACCACCGAGAGAAAGGTAGGCTTTTTGTGATCAATTCCTCATTACTATTGAGGTTTCCATTTGCTCTGAAATTTCTTCTGGGCGAATTAAATTTTCCTAAAATAAATCGGCCTGCAAACGACCCCACTCTCAGTGCAACGTCCGTAGAGAGATTAGCTTCCGTGAACCTGTATTTACGCTAACTTTGCTCAGCTAAAATGTAGGACCAGTTCTGGTGACTGAACTCACCAGAACTGGTCCTACATAGGAAAATGTACTGGACTTAGTTCTTACGACGGCACCTGACCTTGTTCACTCAATGGCATACTATTCTTGCTTAAGCGATCGTTGCTTTGTGCACTTCCTTGTAACAAGGCGGGTTGCACGTCAAATTACTAAGCCCAAGACAATGATATGTTTCAAAGTAGGAAATTATACTACAATAAATAAAGAACTTGACTCAATCGTTAAAAGTTATATGCCGCACCGTTTTCATTGCACAGTTGAACATAACTGGAACATATTTAGAAACGAAGTCGCATCCTTGATTTAGAGATTTCTACCACTTTGTACAATCTCCGACAAACAACGTGCATCGTGGTTTACTACCGCCCTAAAAAGGCTGCTCAACAAGCAAAGGCGACTATTTTGTGTAGCAAATCGCACAAACATTTCCGCGCTCTGATGCGCGTACCAAGAAACTGTCCGCTTATAGAATTGATATAAAGAAGCACGTCTTTCTTCCCTGTAAGCTCCCATCGATTCTCGCTTGTAACATGTCATAGTTTTGGAAGATCATACAACCTAAAAAATATACATATCGCTCGCGGATTCGGATGATCATCTCATGCGTAGTGAAGATTCTTGCCTATATTGAACGACGTTTTTTCAAAGTCATTTTCAGATACTTTTGTACGCAACTACGTACAACTATACGTAACTGAAAATCAATGGATCGTATTATTATTTATTCTGTGGTAATTATAAATTTCTTTTGTATATTGAAGCTCTGATTTTTTGGGGGCGTTAAAGTGACGCTTTTCATATGTCTTCCCCTTCTTCATTTGTATGTAAAACGCCCACAAAATGGGGGGGCAGCCATATACTCTTAACCTCCCGAGACCCTCCGTCCACCAGTGTGGACATTAGGTTTTAAATTGTTGAAAAACAACGGCGCCGCACACAGGAAAGAACGCCTCTCCACCGTCATGAACATAGTCTTGGCTGCCATCTGGAGGAGTGTTGAGCGAACAGCGCTGAAAACAACTGGCTGCTCGCTGTTCCAATTGGCGACCTGCAGCACTCTCACCTTCTACGGGCGACGTCGGGGTATCTAATCAGCATACATGTTTTACACAAACGGAGACTGCGTTAATGTATACTTCTAGTGCTCTTCGAAGTTCACGGATGGTTAATAATGCTTAATATTAATAACAGCATTCGCATGGGTTGCGGTAGCCGCTTGTCAAACTGTGTGTCCCCGTGGGTAGACGCTGGGACCCAAAACTTGTGACATGAATTTCGCTATGATCATGTTTTTCTCACCATCAATGTCAAACACTCGCGAAGTGAAAACAATTCGTTTGATTGATTGTGTAAAATTTTTTAAGACTTACAACAAGTCAGGATGATGCCATTTTAGACAGTGTGTGCGGTGTCACAAGTTACGCTCAAAAGATTCAAGCCGCTGTCAAGCTTGCCAGTCCGGACGGCGCGGGCACTTCACATGCCAGAGAAAGACGACGTCAAGAATGCTGCACGGTGCAGGAACCCTGGCTGCTCAGAGAAAACCCGGCACCGTTGCCCGTCCTGTGATATCTTCTGCAATGAAACTGACTGGCACTGTTTCTTTGATTTTCATACCAAGATATTAGTCTGATTTTTTTTGCCGGTATCACTCCAGTTTTGTTATTCTTCCGCCCGAAGCCTAGCATCTAAAACAAATCATAAGATGTTGAATAAAATATGTATTTATTTTCCTGACTTAAAGTGTAAAGTCCCAGTGTCCATGTGGGTGGACATCCAATTTTGCTGAACCTGCAAACTAACACTGCAAAAAAAAGAAAAAAGAAAGCCGTTCACAACTCCCCTGTAACGCCGAATTAGAGCGCAGCTCTTGAGGAGGACGAGGGGAAGATATATTCTTCCTCCCTACTCCTCACCTCATCATCCCTACTCCTCACTCCGAGCGGCGTCGCCGTCGCCTCACGAGGGTCACGTGACCTCACGGGGGTCACGTGACGTCACCGGGGTCACGTGACGTCACCGGGGTCACGTGACGTCGCCGGGGTCACGTGACGTCGCCGGGGTCACGTGACGTCACCGGGGTCACGTGACCCCGGTGACGATGACGTCATCATGACTAGTGACGTCATCAGTGACGATGACGATGCGGATGCATCGTCGACGTCGATGCATGACATGCATGACGATGTGGATGCATCGCCATGCATCATCGGGCAAGCCGCTTGGCCATTTTGTATCGGGCGGGTGCAACGAACGGTCACTGAGTGTCGGCTTCTCGTCGCACTCGTGGGATCTATCTCTTAGAGCAGCTCAGTGTGCGGATAAGGGAGACGATTTTTCATTGCCTTGTTTCTTGCGCCTATGGGTCTGTGTTATGTCAGAAGCTCGTCCCGCGAGCGACGAAGGCACGGGACGCTACCGCGACAGTACAATGGAACGACTCCGTGCTTCTGTTCAGGAATTCGTCAACGGCAGGGGATGTTAG